GCCGTGTTGGCGAACTTATGGCACGCATGCCAGAGGTGGCACACACAGACCTCTCTGTGGGCACGCGCACTGTCGCCAGGTGCTTTTCCGGGTTCCGTCAGGGGAATGCGCGCCACACAGCTGCTCTCTTCCAGGTTCTGGTGTTCTGGAGCGCACACGCTCCAGTTTCGGCACTTGGTTATACTTATTTTAACAATATTTCAGCCATCTGTACATTTTCTAATAAATCTCTGCAATTCTCTAACTCAAATGTGAAAGCCTAATGCTATGCGTCACCATTAGACCCTCAAAAAACAAAGCAAAGTATTACACTAAATAATATCTGCAGCAAATTATCAGAATGCAGATAGCTTTAACTTCCATTAATACTGCTTTTTTGGTTTAATAGAAATAGCATTTTACATCAAACATCACTTTCTATAAGTTCTATGTGAAGGAAGAGGGATATACTTCGATGCAGTCAGTACTTTGGGCTCTGGGGGTAATGTGATTTGTTCACTGAAAAAGAAGCTACTCACTGCTTCTCAGCATTTTCTCCCAGTGGTAGCCAAATTTTTTATGGTTGAATAGTTCTAGTACACATTTCTGCTTCAATACCAATCACTAAAAAGTCAATTTGCAGAGGAGGTGCTGCCCACATTTTTTACAGTACTGGTCAGAGCTTTTGAAGAGTGCAAGGGCCATTGGCCCAGAGGAAGCTCTAAGCTAGGTGGCTTAAGCACTGACAGCAGCATTGCCTGGGATGCTCAGTGAAGACATTGAATTAAAAAACCTTCAGCAGATGCTGAGAGGGCTCCAGGCTAGCCACTCTGATGTACAATGTAGACAACTAAACAGACAATTATGGAGGCCATCCATTCAGCAAGGCTTTCAATACATGCCAAAGACAATTTATGCTAGCCACTTCAGTACATACCATGTGGAATCTCACAGCGTTTGTGGAAGCTACCTAGCCTGATAGCCCTTGGTAGAACTGGAGGCGAAGGCTTCATCAAAGCAAAACATCCCTTTGAAGCTTCATAAAGCCTTATTCTATAATATTAAACCACACCTATGCAAGTTGTTCTCAACTTATGGCCACAACTGAGCCTTGAATTTGGGTTGTAATTCATAACAGTCATTAAGCAAGGCACTCACTCAATGATTGCAATTTGAGCTCACCCAACTGTGGTTGTTAAGCGGCCATGTGAGGTCTAACATGTTGAACCAAATGAATAGTATCTCCATCCTCCATCCTCCAATACCAACATGTAATCTTTCCATGGTATTCTTGTAAAAGCAACAATTTACACTCAGCCATCATTTCCTATGCACTTCCCTCAAATCTGAGCATAAATCATGCAAATTCTCCATATGTAAGAACACTTTCTATGTTACATTGTTTGATTTCCATTGGCTATCACATGGAGTTGGGGGGGAGGTTCCTGTTGTGAAATATATGATGCTCACAGGAATTTTAACAGGCTGCATTTTGTTACTAATTCTACATTTTGGTTGCAACTTGATTAATGGACAATCCTTAAGATATGCGCTGATGTTTGTGAAATTTGAAAAAAGCTAAATGCTGCGGCACTTGGAATGATTTGAACCATAATATCCCAACCCTTAACATGTCACATGGCTTCATACATTAAGTTACAAAATTCCTGAACTGGGTCTTTAATTGGGTCTCGTAGGATTCCTGACTCATATGCCACAGAGCTCTTGGTCATATTCTCCAATAAAAAATATACACGCAATAATAAAAGTATACCACAGTATTTTGTGTGGGTTGAAAAAAAAACCCTGTTTCTTAGATATTAAGATACAATTAGAATACAGGGACATTATGAAATTAATTAATGCAGTTACATTTTGTCATAGAGCCTCAGTTTAGGAACCTATACAAATATTATTGCATGGGCATTCCGCTAAACATTATTAGAAACATTTCAGTTTAGTAAAATACATTTTAGAGCCACTAGTCTAATCATTTTCTGGCTTAATAAACAAGCAATTAGTGCTATCTATAAATTGGCATGCTTGGATTTTTTTTTTTAGTAGGGATGGTTTTCAAGTTAAGCTGGGAGACGGTTAGAGAAGGGGGTTGCCAGCAATCAGGTGCTCAAGTGTAATAGCTTAGTAAAAATGATTATGAATCCTTTTTACTAATTAAAGGGTAGGCAATTTGGGTAAGGAAGGGAGGGGCACATGACACTTGCATGTAGTACCTTTAATCCAAGCCAGTAAGCCCAAATAACTGCAATAGCAAGTTTATTCCTAGCCTCCTCCTTCAGCCGCCTCAGTTCCCTTCGCGCCTGTGATGCATTTGAAAATGAATTACAGAACATTCTGAGAGAGAAAAAGGCTTGCTTCAATTTCCCAATGGAATGAGGAAGTGAAAGAGAAAGACAAGAGATTTCACACAGGTATCAATGCAGAACCTTCCACCAGCTAGGCTGAAATTTGTTAAAAAAGTACAGCTGCAAAAGATCCAAACGGGATAAATTAATCAGCTGGAAAAACATTTCTCTGCTCTATCTAGAACAGTGGTCTCCAACCTTGGCAACTTTAAGACCTGTGGACTTCAACTCCNGCGCTCAAAAGCCCAATTGGGCTTATTATCCGGGGAGGTCTTATTTTCGGGAAAACTGAGTACAATCCAAACTCCTATACAGCAAAACCCCCAAATGTCCAATAATCACATCTAACTTCATTCCAAAATACGATCCATGAACTGGTTATTCAGCTTATTTGACTATATTTGGAAATTGGTGGCAACAATGGGGAGGCATATATGCACATCTTATAAATGTCTGGTTAAAAACATACAAGACTGTTTTTAAAGGTCACAGAAGAAAAACAATTCCCTTAGAGATCATGCTTGTTACAGCCCATAGCCCCAGAAGTTGATTATGTATTAGTAGATAGATGTCACGCTTTATTATTATTACTAACATCGGGGAGTTGTTTGAGAAAGTACCTTTAGTCCAAGCCAGTAAGCCCATATGACTGCCACAGCATGCTTACGCCTAGCCTTCTCCTTCAAGCGTTTCAACTCCCTCCGAGCCTAAAAAGTTTAGATAGTGAATCACAGAGACAGCCTGATGCAGAAAGAACCATGATGAGAAAGAGAACAGCTGATTTGGGAAGATGAAAAAGCAATAGGAAACCCATGGAACCCAGCGTGCCAGTGTGAAGATTGGCTGGAAAGCTGCTTCCCGAAGGCATATCTGAAGAATAAGTGGCAGACATTCCCTTGTAGTAGCATTCTCATAGGGCGTTTGCCAAAGGGTGAATAGTGGAAAACCTTTTCCCGAGAGGAAGTTAATTCAGACTAAAATATTAGAAACCAGTTTATGTATTCCATTCAGCAATGGCAAATATCTGAAGGAAACCAGTTTAGAGCACATATTAACCTCCTTTCGTTTTAGTCGATATCAATACATTTTTCTCAAAATTGGGAGGGGGTGTTAGTCACAAAAGATAATCAATGAATACCACGTCTCAGCTACAATATTTCAGTGTATAGCAGCAATGGAATAAACCTTTTTTTTAAAAGTATCTGTCTTTTCTTTAGGGTTTTCTGTTACTCCTGTTGATATTTATTCATAAGACATTTATTTATTTATCACATTTACACTTTAATATTAGTGGAGAACAGATGTCTTCTGCTGGATACCAGCAACAACAGACACAGCCAGGGACCTACAACTTTGAAACATTGGTTTGTCTATAAGAGATTTGCCTTGCAAATTTCACTGTTTGAAAGAGCTCAGTGTAAAGCATAACTTATTATTTAAATCTACCGTGTCATTCCAGTGTACTTTGAATAGACTTTCACGAGATTTTAAAACAGTCGGATGGTATAATAAAAGACTGCAGTTGATCATGAATAGGCTTAGGTTAGCGCCGTGATGGCGAACTTATGGCACGCATGCCAGAGGTGGCACACACAGACCTCTCTGTGGGCAAGCGCACTGTCGCCAGGTGCTCTTTCGGGTTCCGTCAGGCGAATGCGCGTCACACAGCTGCTCTCTTCCAGGTTCTGGTGCTCTGGAGCGCACAAGCTCCAGTTTCGGCACTTGGTTA